TATAAGTCTAGTTAAGAATAGTAAAAAAATGTTTTATCAACTTGTTGTTCTCATGTTTAGGACATGGGGCGCGAAAGTTTCAGGCTTTTTTTGTTCCCAGGCTCCAATCATCACAATTTTTTTGCAAACTATCCTTATTTGACGTAAATATAAACATACAAATGTTTGAAGTTTGCTCCATGTCTGGAAGTTAGCTATCTTAAAAAACAAAAAATCCTCACTACGCTACTGTTGAGAATATTAATGAGAATGGTAAAAAAATGTTTTATCAACTCTCACTTGTCGCTCTCACGTTTGGGGCAGCTGTAGCTAAAATTTTAGGGCTTTTTTGTTCTCAGGCTTCAATCATTGCAATTTCTTGTAAAGCATCCTTATTTGATATAAGTATAAACATATAAATGTTTGAAGTTTGCTCCATGTCTGGAAGTTAGCTATCTCAAACAACAATAAATCCTCACTACGCTACTGTTGAGAATATTAATGAGAAGGGTAATGGCACCAACAATACTCCAGTATTGAAAGAATGAAGGACATTTTTATGTATTGGTTACTTTTTTTTATTTATGTATGTATTTAACTATTTTTTGGTTTTGCTGAGTTCATTTTTTTTTAGTAACATAATTAAAAGTTACATTTTTTTTTACCTGACTTTTACCTGAGTTCTCCAATATATATATATATATATATATATATATATATATATATATATATATATATATATATATATATATATATATATATATATATATATATATATATATATATAGTAGGGTGGTCCATAAAACAACTTTTTTGAGAAAAACCTGCTGACACCCCCTAAATGTGTTTTATCTAATGCAAAAACACTAGGTTTAAAATTTTTTTGAACAAAAATTATTTTTAGGGGTAGCTCAAGGCCCTCAAAAATTTGACGGGTCCCTAATATTTTAAAAAAAAAACTTTTTCTAAAGTATGTCAACCTGGTACTCAAAATAAGCAAAATTATATAAAAAATTTAAAAATGATAATAATTTTTTATAAAAATAATTTTTTTAGGTATAAATGCATAAAAACTATTGTTTTTAAGCTGAAAATAAAAAAAGTCAATATTTTCAGGTTTTTTGAGAATAATTTTTTTTAGGCATGTTTTTTATGTAAAATGATTATTATTTTTGAAGTTTTTATACAATATCGCTTCTTTTGAGTACCAGGTTGACATACTTTAGAAAAAGTTTTTTTTTCAAAATATTAGGGACCCGTCAAATTTTTGAGGGCCTTGAGCTACCCCTAAAAATAATTTTTGTTCAAAAAAATTTTAAACCTAGTGTTTTTGCATTAGATAAAACACATTTAGGGGGTGTCAGCAGGTTTTTCTCAAAAAAGTTGTTTTATGGACCACCCTAATATATAGATATATATATATATATATATATATATATATATATATATATATATATATATATGTATATACATATATATCTATATATATATATATATATATATATATATATATATATATATATATATATATATATATTTATATATATATGTATATATATATATATATATATATATATATATATATATATATATATATATATATATATATATATATATATATATATATATATATATATATATTGGAGAACATTTATATATACATATATAAAATATATGTATATATATATATATATATATATATATATACAGTGCTCGAAGTGGAGAAAAAAAAGTAACAGGGTGGTATTCGGTAAATTAAAAATACCATCCCGCCTAGTCATTGTTATATATAGAGATTTATAAAAAAAGGTGGCAGGATGGCATCCCGCATCACTTCGTATTTATGTATATATATATATATATATAAAATTTAAGTGACATCTTTAATGGTATGTGTAGTTATGAGCATTAAAACATCATATAGGATGTCATACTATTTATTTCTTTTTTTTAATAAGTGATATTTCAACTCATATAGTGAGAGCCATCATCAAACTAATAAGACTGTTAAAAAAAACGTTTAATATTTATACCCGTTTAATATTTAACTGTTTAATAACTGTTTAATTTATCCCACCTCCAAAACAAGGCTTTAAAAATTATTTATTTTCAGAATATTAAATTTAATCCTAATGTGCTCTACCTAACTTCTAAAGTATTAAAACTATGTAACTATATTCAACTTTTAAACTGTCAATTTGTCTGGAACCACCAACACAATAACCTACCTTTAACTTTCATTAATTTCTTTTCCAAAAGTGTCAACAGTTGCTATCACCTTCGTTCCAATAGTAATTTAAATCTATCTGTCTCTAAACACTGCTCTCATAATTACAGGCATAAATCCATAAAATATCAAAGCACTAAAACTTGGAGCAACCTTCCTTATGAACTAAAAGCTCTCAATTCGAATTGAATTTCAGAGCAGTGATTCATTCTCAACCTTTAAAACCAGTTTATTCTACTTTTTGTTAAAAAAATATAATTAATGTTTATAATTTCTAAAATCAATTTTTGTTGCCTTAAGTATTTTTTTTTTTTTTTTTTTTACAATTTCAATTTTATTTTTTTTATTGGTTATTATTATTTTTATTAATATTTACTATTAATAACTACTTTTAACTTTTATTATTACTAATACTAATATTGTTGTTTTTATTGTTATTATTGTTATTAGTATTATTAACATCGTTACAGGGGTGGATACAGCATTTTTTGATGTTTGAGATACCTAACTCCCAGACATGGAGCAAACTCCAAATATTTATATGTTTATACTTATATCAAATAAGGATGCTTTACAAGAAATTGCAATGATTGAAGCCTGAGAACAAAAAAGCCCTAAAATTTTAGCTACAGCTGCCCCAAACGTGAGAGCGACAAGTTAATAAAATAATTTTTAAACTATCTTAACTAAATCTATATTCATCAACAAATTTTAAAATTCACACAAAAATCTTTTAGCCTTCAAAAACAATAAAAAGTTTTAACCCCCCTCAATTTGAGGGGGTTGCAAATTTTATAAGGCCATAACTGTTGAACACTAATAGATTATTGTGTGAGTTTTAAAATTTATCAATGAATATATACTTGGTTAAAAATAGTAGAAAAAATATTTTATTAACTTGTTGTTCTCACGTTTGGGGCAGTTGTAGCTAAAATTTTAGGGCTTTTTTGTTCCCAGGCTCCAATCATTGCAACTTTTTGCAAAGCATCCTTATTTGACATAGGTATAAACATATAAATGTTTGGAGTTTGCTCCATGTCCAGAAGTTAGCTATCTCAACAACCAAAAAATGCTGGATGCGGATCCTGTGTTATTTATGTTATTTGTGTTACATTGTTATTTTTATGTTATAAAGTTTATTATCGTTATTATATATTGTGAAAATTAGCATTATATTTATTTTAATTAGATATTATTAACATTAGTAGGTGTTTACTTTATATTAGTAATTTTACTATTTGTAAACATCCTTAACTGTAAAAACTTAATTCAGATTGTAATAAACGTAAACAAATGATGTCATTGCAACGTCAGATATTCAACATTTTTTAATTTTACAAAAAATTGTTTCCAATGGTGAGTCATCACTAAATTGCCATTGTTGCGATTTAAAACTTTTTCTTTAGGTTTTGAACATTGTACACGTTTTATTTCAACAGACTCATAAATATTTCTTGTTTAGTTGTTTGAAATAATAGAAAGCGTCATTGCAAATAGTTATTCACTAATAAAGCACAATGACTTATATAAGATTAAAAAAAAAAATAACAATAATAATAATATGTAATAAGTAAAACCACATAAAAAAATAGGTTGTAAAAGGAAGTTAAGTTAAATAAGTTAATATAATATTAACTAACAAAAGTAAAGTTGCATAAAAATTTATTTAATTATACCAAAAAAATCAAACTTTTTGAATATATATAACATAATTAATATAATGTACATTCATATATGCACATATACTTAAACAAGAATTGTAATAAAATAAGTAAATTATAATAAAAATAATTATTAAAAATAAAATATTAAAAATAAAATATTAAAAATAAAATAATAATAAAATAATAAACTATAATAAAAATAAAAAAATAAGTCAAAAGGTAGAAAGTAAAAAATTAAAAAGTAAAGTTAAGCAAAACCTTTTTGGTAGAAATGATGGAGTGACTTTAAGAACAGATTCTTGAACCTAAGGATGAAACCTGATTTTAGGGTGTTCGGAAGTGAGTTCCAAGAAAGGATACACTGGTATGTAATGGAATTAATTCCATGTTCACTTGTCTGTTTTAGTGGGAGAGTTAAGTTGTTATAAGTGACTGATCTTAGGTTATGCCCACATGTTGTTCTATTATTAAAGTAGTTGTAAAATATAGTAGGAAGGACACCATGTTGTTGATCCCAGACAAATAAACAATTTAAGAAGTGAATTATGTCATAGAAACAAAGAATTTTAGATGTAAGATATAGGATGTCAGTAGAAAAATTTCTCAGACAAAAATGAATAATCCGTACCGTTCTATTTTAAAGTGAAACAACTCTAGAGAGACATATGGTTTTAGATTGTCCCCAAATTTGACATGCGTATCGTAAATGTGAACCAAAAATGAATAGAATAAAAATGAAAAAAAATAGAGTGATATATAGAGAGCAATGTTTCAAAGTTAACGTAATGTCAAACTTTTGCTAACATGCCGTTGGAACGGCTTAACTTCAGAGTAAGGTTGGATATGTGTGTTTTGATGAAAGTTTTTCATCTAATACAGCACCAAGTTAAGTTATAATACTAGACAAGTACATTTTTTGACCACTTAATCAAAAGTTAAAGTATTCTGGAATATTTTTCTTAGTTTTTTCAGAAAAGTTAGTATTTCGAGTCTTAAATATAATTATTTCTGATTTTTCAGTATTCAATGAGATTTTATTTGCTCTAAGCCATTAAACAAGACTGGCCATATCCTGATTAATATATTTTTTAAGTTTTTTGAGAGAGTTTGTTATTAATTGAAGATTAGTATCATCAGCAAAATGTTTTTGAATGTTTGATAGAAAGATTGAGATTATTAATATAGATAATAAAGAGAAAAGGACCTAATATGGATCCCTGCGGTATACCAATTGAAACGTTTTTTTAATATCTGAGCTGATTGCATTTATAGTTACATACTGTTGACGATCAGAAAGGTATGATTTGAACCACTGCAAGGATATGCCACGTACACGCCACGTACATGCCACGTACACCATAATAGTTAAACTTTGAGAGGAGAATTTCATGGTCTAAGGCATCGGGAAATGTTCCTTTGCAAAATGAATTGTTTAAAATGATACTAATTAGTTTTCATAAAGTTCCTGACACCAGTTTAAAAAGTTTTGTTGGAAGACTATTTAGTCCAACACTACTCCCTTCTATAATAGTGGAATTTATATTATTAAGAGTTTCCTCTTTTGTTATTGGTTGCATATAAAAAGAGTTGCTAGTAGGATTGGTCAGGTACTCATGAAAGTTGAGTTTAGAATTTGGAATTTCGTAGGATAATTTTGAAGCAATCGTGGTAAAGAAGTTATTAAAATGGTTTGATGTTATGGTTTTAGGATTGGTTTCGCATTTGTTGTTAATAAGTATGCTTGTTAGGGAATTACTATTATTTCGTTTAAAATTTATCAACTCTTTTATACCTTTCCAGGTATTTTTTATGCTATTGATGTTGTAGCTAAAAAAGTTTGTGTAATATTTCTTTTTGCTAAACTTTAGAAGATTGCTTATACTATTACGATAGTGTTTTTTTAATTTTTTTTAAATATATTTTTTATTCTACAGTTTTTTGATTTTAAATATTTTTTATGAAGTTTATTTTTAATTGTTATTGACTTGAAAATGCCTTCCGTTACCCATTGTTGATTACGTTTAACTACTTGATTTTTTGTTAACTTTTTATAAGGAGCATGTTTGTTTGAGATATGATCAAATAGTTCAATTAATTTTTTAATAGAATCGTTAACATCACTGTCTTCTTTTTTATGGTCATCCTATTCAACATTTGAAATTTCTTGGATAAATTCAGCTTTTTTAAAATTTTTAAAGCATTGCCTAACAATAGGTTCAGATAAAGTTTGAGTTTTGGTATGTGGAATTAGCATAAACTGAACAAGATGATCAGATATTGAAGCGGTAAGGTTGCCTGAAATTATTTCAGAAGAATAAAAGTTTAAAAAAATGTTATCAATTATTGTCTTAGAATGGGTGGTTATGGATAATCATATTGTCTTAGAATGGGTGGTTAGGAATGGGTGGTTAGGAATGGGTGGTTAGGAATGGGTGGGACAGATTTTGTATGCTCGAGCTAAAAAACCTTTAAAAATACCAACAGCGATATTCGGTGAAATTGCATCTTTATGGTGTATTGAAAACTCATATTTGTGAAGGGAATGATTGGTTGAAGTACAAATATCTAAAAAATGCTCAACACCAATTAAATTTTTTAGATGTTCGTATTTCAACCAATCACTCCCTTCACAAATATAAATCACAAATATGAATCAATCACTCCCTTCACAAATATGAATCAATCACTCCCTTCACAAATATTTTCCAAATACCGTAAAGATGCAATTACAAACGTACTTATAAAACCGAAACCATCTATCTCACCGTATATATTTAAAAAATTTTTAGCTCGAGCATACAAAATTTGTTCAGAATATGTTGAATATCTGACGTTGCAATGACATCATTTGTTTATGTTTATTATATTTTTTTAAACGGTTTTTAAAAAAAAAATTTTAAACGGTTTATAAAAAATTTTCAAGAAATAAATAGTATGATACCGTATATGATGTTTTAATGCCTATATAAATATATATATATATATATATATATATATATATATATATATATATATATATATATGTGTATATAAACATATATATATATATATATATATATATATATATATATATATATATATATATATATATATATATATATATATATATATATATATATATATATATATATATATATATATATATATATATATATATGTATATATATATATATATATATATATATATATATATATGTATACATATATATATATATATGTGTATTTATATATATATATATATGTATATATATATATATATGTGTGTGTGTATATATATATATATATATATATGTATATATATATGTATATATATATATATATATATGTATACATATATATATATGTGTATATATATATGTATACATATATATATATGTGTATATATATATGTATATATATATTAATAAATATATATACACACACACATATATATATATATATATATATATATATAAATTTATATATATACACACACATATATATATAAGTTTATATATATACACATATAATTGATTATATTTAAGATGTCAAGCCTATGAAGCAATTGGAAAGTTGGAGTTAGCATACAAAGATATTAAAAGACTGATACAGTTAGAACCAAAAAATACCGCTATTCAAGATACATATCGCAGGCTTACCATCCAAGCTCAAGAAAAAGTTAATAAGAGTAAATCAACAGTGGGTATGATAGAGGAGATGTTGGTGTGTTTGTCCAATTGCACTGAAACAGCAGAAAGGAAAAACCAAGCCATCAGCAATCTAGTTATCTACGCCCATAAACCTGGACCATCTGATATTCTTTTTAAAGGTTTTTTTCAACAACTAATACCATTGCTATCTAATAATGCAGAACATGCTTCAGGTCTTATGAAAATATGTCACGGATTTTGTGAAAAAAAATTTATGCGATCTGTCGAAGTCATGCAGATTTTTCCATTAGAAAAATTTAAAGAGATTTTAGTTTCTTTTAATGATACCAATTTAGTAATAACAACACTTTCTGTCATCATTGCTGCTCTTGAAGCCGTGGTTACACACTTTAAAGATTTAAATAAGTTAAAACCAGAAGATGAACACAAATATCAATTAATTCATGAAAATAATATTCTTATGCGTAAGGTATTAGAAGATCATCCATTGTACATTAAACTGTTAAATTTTTTAGTTAGTTTACTTGGCCTTACAACAATTTCTGAATCTGGAAGAGATGCCGTAATTGATGCATTTGTAAAATCTATTGAACTTCACAAAGCAATCAGTGATTTTATTTTAGAGAATAAAGGTATAAAAAAGATGCTTGATTTAGCAGCCTTAAGTTACTTTCCGATGACTAAATCTGCGTGTAAACTACCGGTGAGTAAAAACATGTACATTCACGTTTCTGTTGTTTTGTCTCATTTATGGGAAAAGATACAGCATTTTGAAAAAGACCGTGAAATGTTTGATAACCAAGCTGAAACTGTTGTCAATCAACTGCTAGATTCTTCTGATAACATTTCAAACTTGCAAGGGTTGATAGTTTTATCTACTGTAATGATGGCTTCAAGAAATTCCGGCCAAGCAATTGTTGTGAAGAACAATTGCATTGATAAAGTTCTAGTATTAGCTTGTATAGAAGATGAACTATCTAAACTATTATCTGCTGAAGCATTAGCGTATTCAGCTTCTGATAAAGCCGTTTGTAACGCAATAGTAAATTCTGGAATAGACATTGTTCAATCTCTGTATCATAGCTCGAACAAAATATTATGTGTACGCGGCCTAGTGATATTATGTAAGGTTGCAATGAAGGGAGGTGGTAATATTAAAGAACAGTTGTTAGTTGATGGAGGCGCACAAAAACTTTATAAGACATGCAGAGGTTTTCTGGTAAATGTTAATAATGATTTAGAACTTAAAAAATGGGCTTGCGAAGGATTGGCTTATCTTTCTTTTGATGCAGAAGTGAAAGAAATACTTGTACGTGATATTGAAGCACTTAACTCAATGCTAGACCTAGCCAAATCCGAGGACTCTACTATCACTTATGGTATATGCAATGCTCTTGTTAACCTAACAAATGCATTTGATAAACCTGAGAAAAATCCTGAGCTGGAACAACTTGCTAAATTTGCAAAGCAGCCAATTCCTGAAGTTCATGAAAAAGATAGCGATGAATTTGTTCAAAAGCGAATACGCGTGTTATTAGACAACGGTATAGTTTCAGCGTTGGTTAATTTAAACGATGTAAATAGTGAACGAACTAAAGAAATGATGTCTCGAATTTTTTGCGCAGTTGTTGAGGAACCTGTAAATAGAGGAAAAGTTATTGCACAAGGCGGTGTTAAAACCCTTCTTTCACTTGCACTTAAAGGAACAGAAAAAGGAATGGATTGCGCATCTCAAGCTTTAGCTAAAATTGGTATTACGAACGATCCGCGTTTAGCATTTTCAGGTCAGCGTTGTATGGAAGTAGTTCGCCCATTAATAAAACTCATACATTTTAAAAAATCACCTTTGTTACGTTTTGAGGGACTAATGGCATTAACTAATCTTGCTTCCATGAATGATGATGTCCGTAAGCGTATTATGAAAGAAAAAGGTTTTTATGAGATCGAATCTTTAATGTTCGACGAAGACGACCAGTTAAAATGTGCTGCTGTTCAGTGTATGTGTAATTTAGTTCTTAATCAAGACGCGTTTAATATGTTTAAAGACACAAGTTCCGTTACGGAGCGTTTAAAATTAATTGTTTTATATTGTGGAGAAGACCCTCCAGAACTATCAAAAGCTGCTGCTGGCACTCTAGCCGTTTTAACATCAGATCCTGAGATCTGTAAAATGGTTGTAGCTGTAAAATCTCATTTAGATATACTAAAGTATCTTGTAACGAATGAATCACCTGAATTCCGTCATCGTGGTTTGTTTATCGTTGCAAACATGTTGGAAAGCTCAAAAGAAATAGCTATGCCACTTGTCGAGGACGAATTATTTGATGTATTACTTGCTTTAAAAGTTTCTGGAGGAAACGAAAAAGTACAATTAGAATTAGAGAGATGTTTTTCTGCTGCTAAACACTGGAAAATAATTACTAAAAATCCATCTATTTAGTCAATCGATCTTTAAAAAGTAGAAATTTAAAAAGTCGTAATTTATTGTGTTTTTTTTTAAGATGTGGCAATCGAGTAACAATATAATTTTTTCTCCTCCTATTCCAAAAAATATGTCCACTTTTTTTAAGATTTCGAGAATTCTGAACATTATTAAAATTAAGGGTGTACCGCATAAGAAATTTTAAATTCCGGTCGGAACCGGATTTATATTTATGTATTTTTTTACTTTCAAAATTGAAAGTGAAAGCCTGCACCTCAGCATTGTGGCTACAAATTTTATGGAAATAAATTTTATGGAAATTAAAATCTATGGAATGAAAGATGAATCCCTAAGCTGGTTCAAAAGCTATCTTAGTAATTGTAAGCAGTTTATTAATATCCTAGACTAATCTTTGCCTTTATTAATAAATGTAACATGTGGTGTCCCACAGGGATCCATAGTTGGGCCCCTATTATTTTTGATATATATAATTGACCTCAACGAAACATCCAACTTAACCATTATAGTTTTTGCTGATGAAACAAACCTATTCCAATCTCATGAAAACATAAATACACTTTTTGATAATATGACACAAGAGTTAAATAAAATCTCATATTGGTTTAAAAAAAACAAATTGTCCCTCAATATTGATAAAACAAAATATTCACTTTTTTACCCAACATCCAGAAAAAAATGTTTACCAAATACATTGCCCGACCTCTTCATTGATAATACAATACTAAAAAGGGGAAAAGTTACAAAACTTCTCGGAGTTCTTGTAGACAAAAATTTATCCTGGAAACAACAAATCGAAAATATCTCCTTAAAAATTGCTAAAAGTGTTGGAATTATATATAAAGTTCGACATAATAAATAAGCAACAAATAAAACAACTATATTATTCGTTTATCCACTGCCATTTTAGTTATGCAAATATTGTATAAGGAAGCGCGCACTAAACTAAACTTAAATCTCTTTATCAGCATCAGAAACACGCAGCTCGCATAATTAATTTTGTAAATCGTTTTTCAAATTCAAAACCACTTCTGAGAGAAATAAAAGCCTTTAATGTATACGAACTAAATGTTTATAATATTTTATGTTTCATGTTTAAATGTAAAAATCATTTATCTCCTGATGTATTTATTAACCTTTATAATGTAAAACCCATAAACAAATACGCAATGGAAAAAATCTACAAGCACCTTTCGCAATGGAAAAAATCTACAAGCACCTTTCTGCCAAACTAAATTTGAACAACTAATTATTTCTTATTGCGGTCCTTATTTATGGAATAAAATAGTTTTGCCAAATTTTGATTTGTCATTGAAATGGACTTTAACTTCTTTCAAACGAAAATTAAAAGAAGTTATCTTATCAGCAGAAAATATTTTTTCTTTTTTTTACTTCTTTTTTTTTCTTTTTTTTAAATGCACAGTTATATATAGTTTATGTTGGTTTATTTTTATTGGTTAATTTAATTTTATTGTTATTATTATTATATTTGATATTATTAGGGGCTTCATGATAAGATCGTATGATCTTCTGGAAGTCCTGCCGATTATATTTTTAATAAAGCTATTCTGTAATTGCAATTTCTTTTATTTAAAGCAAATAAGTTTACAAAAAAGAAAACGCCATGGGAGTTTTCTGAAGATGAAACTGAAAACTTCAAACAAGTTGAAAGTCTTACAGTTCTTAATAGTATAAGAATTCAATTAACTGAAAGAATTGAAAATCTAAAGGTGGTTGTACCTCAAAAACTTTTTTTTTTTTCAAAATTTTAGCTTTTACAATTTTGATTAATTTATTATATCTTCTTTTATAATAATAAAAAAAATTGTTTTTGATAAGTTTCCTGATAAATGAGTTCATAAAAATAGATTAAAGAAAAAAAAATTTCATAAATTAGAAAAAGATTCTCTAGATAATTCACATGCTTTATAACAAACTGTTTTGTCTGCACATTCACCAAGCAATGTAAGTTAATCGGTATCTGGAAAAAATATAAAGTTATCTAGATGTAGAAAACTTTACGATATAGAAAAAGAGTGTAATACAATTACAAACTCATATTTATTTTCAAGTTTGTTGAAAGCAATTGAAAGATGCTCTAGAATGTTATTCGTCAATATTGTACACGATATTGTACACGATACATTAATCAAAAAGATTCTTTCTCACACTTCTTCTCTAGATTTTACCTGGATGATGAATTTTTCAACTTTAAATGAGTAGAAAATAAAAATGAAGTAATCAAAAGTAAAAAATTAAAAAGATTAACCTATGTACTGTGTTATCTTTTCGAGATATTGGGCAAGGATACATAGCAGTTATTGCTTTCTGTTATTTAATAAACATGTCTTTTGGTATAACAAAACGTGGTTACCATAACATTAATAACAAACTTCCTGTTGCTTACTTTGAAACCTCTAGAGTGAGTACAAACAGAACATACGTAATAAAAAACTTGTTGAAAATTATGATGATGAATCAATTGTCAATGTCGCTGTTAGTTTAGATGGTTCATGGCAGCGCAGAGGATACTTCTCAATAAATCGTATAGTCACAGCAATATCTCATGGAAATTGTATTGATGTTGTTGCTGAAACAAAAAGTTGTTACCCCTGCAAGATATGTTTAAGAAGATAGGTACTCCAGCTTACGAGAACTGGATGATCACACATTAATCATAAATGTAGCCCAGAAAGTATAGATTCTTTAGGCACTCTACAAATATTCAATCAATCTGTCAAAGAGCATAAAATCAACTACATGACATACATTGCTGATGGAGATACCAACTCTTATATGCAAGTTTGTGATGCAAATCAATACAAAGAAAAAATTATTTAGAAATAGTTCTTGGCAGTGATGCGTTGTTCAAGAAAGATTTACATGGCCAAACTCAAAATGTCAATGAATCGCTAAATGAGATAATTTGGACTCGCGTACTCAAAAGAGTTCATGTGAAAAGAACAGTTGTTGAGATGCTTTGGCTTTTGCAATAATTAGCTTCGTTAATGGAGTTCAGGGTTTACTACCAGCATTTGAAAAATGTAATGTTTTACCTATTTTACAACAAAAAGCTCTCTAAATGTAGATTATGTAAGCATTAAACAGAATGAGATAAAAAGTACAGGTGCCACAAAAAACAGGAGGAAAAAGTTAGGGGCCTTTAAAAAAGGCTTTATTGACTAACATAATGAAGCAGAAGATGTTGCATACAACAGTGGTGGTTTCTAGTAGGTTTGATTGTGTAAAAAACTTAATGTACTTTTAGTATTTTTTTAAATTGCGTTTTTCTTTTAATTTTTTAACAAAAAAAACTTTTTAACCGCTCATTGAATTTTTTTCAAATTTTCATCAATTATTCTTAAGTGTATTTGTAATGTGCTGAACTAAAGAAACTTTTTTTTATATTAAAGTATTAAAATTTGAATTTTAGCAAGCTGTACTTATACTTTTTTCTTTTTATTGATAAAATATAATGATTTTAAAGTTATTAAATGTTGTTTATTGTATAATTTTTAATTCAGCACATTTTTTGAATATATATAAAACTGCTTATAAAATTTGGTTTGTAGAGCATGTATGGTTCTCAAGATATTCTTGTTAAAAAAAGATTAATTTTTTTGCCTAAATTTTGCTAATTTATGCGCATAATTATTGAGCAGGAGGACAAAAAATAAATAACTTTGTTATTTTTTGAAATGATTTAATCTAACATTTCAGAAAAACATAAATGTTCAAAAACATAAATATAATATCAAGTTATAATTTTTTTCCTCCTAAAGAGAACTACCACCTTCCTACTACCATCTTCCTACTACCACCTTCCTACTACCACCTTAAGAATATTGCAAAAGTTAAATTATGCAAAAAAATATTTAAGTATCAATGAAGAACAATTAAAAATTGAAGTGAAATGTTTCAAATACTAAATAGCAGCCATTATATAAAATAAAAATGTTCGTGAAATATGTCATCTGGAATTCTTAAATATTTTAGAAAAATTAGAACTGCAAAAATCATTCCCAAACATAGAATAAACTTTAAGATTGTTTCTTACTCTCGAATAATTAATAAAAAATCGGGTGGGGAGCGGGAACGTATATTAATATTTAGATTAATTTTTATTATTATTATTTTTTTTTTTTTCTTATGTTACGTATTTTTTTTATGCTACATATTTTTTAATTACAAACAAGGCTTCTAATATTTTCCCACCCACCCCAAGCTGATTGAGTCTTTCCTCCTCCCCCCCCCCCCCCCACCGTTAACTAATTTTCACTTGTTATTAAAAAAAAAAAAAAAAAAAATCAGTGTAAATTGGCCTTAAAAATTAGAAAGAGGTTTTTCAGTCACAGATAAAAACAAAAGCATTTAGTGTAAATCCTGTCAGGTCAGGTTATCCTGCTACTGGTAACATGTAACCCAGTAAAACCTGCTTCATGCCCTGCTGCCTTGTAGGATACGCTTTTTTAGGCAAAGGCTAGAAGTCAACTCCAACTTAAAACACCCCCTGTCTTGGGGCTCTCGGTTGAGTAAAGGCTAAAGATGGTTTCTCAATAAAAAATGCTCATCTTGGGCAGATGTTAAACGCATCCGGCTACTGCCTTGTAGATGGCCTCCTATGGAAAGACTTAAAGAGTAAACAGATTCTATCTGTTGACCAGCCTCGCACCCATTCTTTATCTATTAGGCTGGCGCAGATATATATTTAATAGATTGTTTCCAGTTTAGGATGTTGAACGGTAAATCCTCTTGACTCAATGCATGGGTTTTGCTTGTGCTTTTATGATTAGGCAACTCATTATATTATCTCTTAATGAGGCTACAGCTCTAAAACTTAGTATTATGGTTCCGATGCCGGCTGGTAGTTAGCTTTACCGAATGCTGTGGTAGCTCTAAGAGAGGCTGATTCCATCAACAGCTGTTAAACATCAGAGTACTAACAGTGTCATGTTGGGCATGGATGGTGTCCCTGTTCATACTTTTGGTGTGCATAATTAAGGCCACATTTGGAGCCCTTTGCTACGGCTTTGGGTTTAT